CACTCTTGTGGGACACTCTGCGGGACACTCTTGTGGGACACTCTTGTAGGACACTCTTGTGGGATACTCCTGTAGAACACTCTTGTGGGGCACTCTTATAGGACACTCTTGTGGGACACTCTGGTGGGACACTCTTGTAGGACACTCTTGTGGGACACTCTTGTGGGACACTCTTGTGGGACACTCTTGTGGGACACTCTTGTGAGACACTCTTGTGGGACACTCTTGTGGGTCACTTGCAGGACACTCTTGTGGGACACTCTTAGGAAACTCTTGTGGGACACTCTTCTAGGACACTCTTGTGGGACACTCTTGTAGAACACTTGTGTGGGTCACTTGCAGGACACTCTTGTGGGACACTCTTACACGACACTCTTGTAGGACACTCTTGTGGGACACTCTTGTAGGACACTCTTGTAGGAAACTCTTGTGGGACACTCTTGTGAGACACTCTTGTGGGACACTCTTATAGGACACTCTTGTGGGACACTCTTGTGGCACACTCTTGTAGGACACTCTTAGGAAACTCTTGTGGGTCACTCTTGTAGGAAACTCTTGTGGGACACTCTTGTAGGAAAGTCTTGTGGGACACTCTGTGGGGCACTCTTGTGGGACACTCTTGTGGGACACTCTTGTAGAACACTCTTGTGGGACACTCTTGTGGGAAACTCTTGTGGGACACTCTTGTAGGACACTCTTGTGGGATACTCGTGTAGAACACTCTTAAGGGACACTCTTGTGAGACGCTCTAGTGGGACACTGTTGTGGGACAGTCTTGTAGGACACTCTTGTGGGACACTCTCGTAAGACACTCTTGTGGGACACTCTTCTGGGACACTCTTGTAGGACACTCTTGTAGGACACTCTTGTGGGTCACTCTTGTGGGGCACTCTTGTAGGACACTCTTGTGGGACACTCTTCTGGGACACTCTTGTAGGACACTCTTGTAGGAAACTCTTGTGGGTCACTCTTGTAGGAAACTCCTATCAGACACTCTTGTAGGACACTCTTGTGGGACACTCTTGTGGGACACTCTTATAGGACACTCTTGTGGAACACTCTTGTGGGACACTCTTGTAGGACACTCTTGTGGGACACTCTTGTAGGACACTCTTGTGGGACACTCTTGTGAGACACTCTTGATGGACACTCTTGTGGGTCACTTGCAGGACACTCTTGTGGGACACTCTTAGGAAACTCTTGTGGGACACTCTTCTAGGACACTCTTGTGGGACACTCTTGTGGGACACTCTTGTAGGACACTCTTGTGGGATACTCTTTTCGGACACTCTTAACGGACACTCTTAAGGGACACTCTTGTGAGACACTCTTGAGCGACACTGTTGCGGGACTCTTGTGGGACACTCTTGTGGCACACTCTTGTGGGACACTCTTGACTCTTGTAGAACACTCTTGTAGGACACTCTTGTGGGACACTCTTATAGGACACTCTTGTGGGACACTCTTGTGGGACACTCTTGTAGGACACTCTTGTGGGACACTCTTGTAGGACACTCTTGTGGGACACTCTTGTAGGAAACTCTTGTGAGACACTCTTGATGGACACTCTTGTGGGTCACTTGCAGGACACTCTTGTGGGACACTCTTAGGAAACTCTTGTGGGACACACTTCTAGGACACTCTTGTGGGACACTCTTGTGGGACACTCTTGTAGGACACTCTTGTGGGATACTCTTTTCGGACACTCTTAACGGACACTCTTAAGGGATACTCTTGTGAGACACTCTTGAGCGACACTGTTGCGGGACTCTTGTGGGACACTCTTGTGGCACACTCTTGTGGGACACTCTTGACTCTTGTAGAACACTCTTGTGGGACAGTCTTGTAGGACACTCTTGTGCGACACTCTTGTGGGACACTCTTGTGGGACACTCTTGTGGGACACTCTTGTAGGACACTCTTGTAGGACACTCTTGTGGGACACTCTTGTGGGACACTCTTGTGTGACACTCTTGTAGGAAACTCTTGTGGGACACTCTTGTGGGACACTCTTGTGGGACACTCTTATAAGACACTCTTGTAGGACACTCTTGTGGGTCACTCTTGTAGGACACTCTTGTGGGACAGTCTTGTGGGACACTCTGTGGGACACTCTTGTGGAACTCCTTGTGGGACACTCTTGTAGGATACTCTTGTGGGACAGTCTTGTAGGACACTCTTGTGGGACACTCTTGTGGGACACTCTTGTAGGACACTCTTGTGGGATACTCCTGTAGGACAAAGGGACACTCTTTTGAGACAGTCTAGTGGGACACTGTTGCGGGACACTCTTCTAAGACTCTCTTCCAGCTCCCCAGATACTCCGCGTACTAAAGTTGTACTACAAGGTCGCCAGTTCTCAGCTTCCAGCTCCCCAGATACTCCACGTACTACAGTTGTACTACAAGGTCGCCAGTTCTCAGCTTCCAGCTCCACAGATTGCTCCGCGTACTCAAGTTGTACTACAAAGTCGCCAGTTCTCAGCTTCCAGCTCCACAGATTGCTCCGCATACTAAAGTTGTACTACCAAGTCACCAGTCAGTTCTCATCTTCCAGCTCCCCAGATACCCCGCGTACTAAAGTTGTACTGCAAAGTCGCCAGTGCTCGCCTGCATTTCGCGCGCTCGACACGCACGATCTCCGCAGAGGGTTGCGCGGGCACCGGACAAATCGCACTCTCGCCTGCATTTCGCGCACTCAACACGCACGATCTCCGCAGAGGGTTGCGCGCGCATGGGACAAATCGCACTCTCGCCTGCATTTCGCGCACTCGACACGCACGATCTCCGCAAAGGGTTGCGCGCGCATGGGACAAATCGCACTCTCGCCTGCATTTCGCGCACTCGACACGCACGATCTCCGCAGAGGGTTGCGCGCGCATGGGACAAATCCCACTCTCGCCTGCATTTCGCACACTCGACACGCACGATCTCCGCAGAGGGTTGCGCGTCAAGTCTCCAAAACGAGCGTTTCGTATACGAGACTTCCTCAAAAACTCACACGTCAAAGTCTGCAAAACGAGCGTTTCGTATGAGACTTCCTCCAAAAGTCAAGCGGAAACACCCATCGGAGCACACACATCACGCAGCCCTGCCAAGCAGTTTCGCGATTCCAGCCCCTCCAAACAACACCCGCCCACACGCCAATCCCAATGGGACAGCGACATTCACCTCTACCACAACTCACAACCTCACGATTCCCTGCGCCTGCCACGAATCTTTCCCCATCCACACGTCTAACGCGCACAAAGTACTGCGCCTGCCACGAAATGTCACCTCCCTCACACCTCGCAACCTCACGATTCCCTGCGCCTGCCACGAGAATTGCACTTCCACGCTTCAAAGCCCGCACGAAGTCCTGCGCCTGCCACGAAAAGTGACAATATCATCGCATGTGAGCTTCAACAAAATTTGCACCACACCACACGTTTGGAATGATTTCGACCCGTTCAGAGCACACTCCCATCCACCAAAATCGCCATTCAGCTGAGACTTGTCACGAAAACAGAGCTTCGATGCCACACCCTGAAACGCAAATCCCAATGGCACGGCCACATCCAACACCCCAAAAACACGACTCTCCAAACGCTAATCCCAATGGCACTGCGCAGCAAACTGCGGATCTCACAAAACGCTGCGCCTGTGCAGCGAAATGCATCACGTTTCTTGCGCGACATGTCGGTGTCATGCGAATCACAATGGAATAGCGGCGCAAACTGACACGTGACACATCCATGAAAAGTCACTTGCAAAAGCTTCCCCCAATGGCAGCAAATTGAGACGCGACGACGACGACACGACGACGACAGACGACGACAGACGACGAGAGACGACGACAGACGACGACACGACGCAAGCCATGCAAACACATGTCCAACCCCCACACCCCCAACTATAAACGGGAACCCTTCGCTACGCATTCGGGAATAAACAATAGCCACCAGCTTCTTGCTACTCATAGCAAAGCGGCGATGCCCTTGTTACTAGTAGCTTCTTGTTACTAGCAGCGATGCCCTTTGTTCCTAGTATATAGCTTCTTGCTCCTAGTAGCGATGCCAGGAGCTACTAGTAGCGTCCTTCCACCAGGAAATGGCAAGCCCCAGCAAGATCAGTAGCATTTGGTGGCTCTGCGACCCTTGCAACTAGAATGCGGCTTGATGTGGCGTGGATTGAGGCTTTCACGTCGTTGGCCGCCCTCAGAACGTGCTTGCATCAATGGCCTTGGTGGGAAACCACATGACCGTTGCAATGGCTTCAGTCAGCTGACTGATAAGATGCAGGCCCGAAGCAATGCCACCTGCGGAGTGTTGTGTGTGAACATCTGAGATGTGGACTGGAACTGCTAAGGCAAGTACGGCCGGGGCAAGGCCACATCGACCTCAGGTTGGTGAAACCACCCGTCAGGGCAAGAAAGTCTGAGCTTAAATGCACCAACCAAAGAAACCTATTTAATCTCAGATTTGGGGCTAGCCTGGCTTGCGAAACACGCACACCGAGTCCTTCACACCTTCTGGCTCATTTGGTCTATCGCAAGTCTCTGGGATCACTTCCTCTGGGCTTCTGTTCCTGCCCTGCGCAAATGCCAGGGTCTCGTGCTCTGATGAACTGCACAACTGCACACCACAACTCCAGATCATCCATGCCAAACTCTCAAACATGGTCAGCGGTGTTGTCCACTTGTGCGCACTGTCCACAACAACCTTCGGCACCCGCTTCACGGTGTCCTACTATTGTAGAACGAAGCCTTACCAGTAGGACCACACATTCATTCTCAGTACTTGAAGTGCATGTTTTCAGTACTTGGGTGTGGGTTCTTTCTAAATGCACGCGTGCTGCCATGTGCCATGTTAAAACGTGTGCCGACCTCCGTCTCCCCTGCCATCGCTGCATGGCTTTGCCGCGTTGCGTTGCAGGAAAGGCAGGTTTTTCGCTCGAAAAGGGCAGCGGTGTTTATCACATTACCAGTAGCAAGGACGCTATTAGGTGGAGGCCATCGCAAGTAGGTTGGAGGCCATCGCAAGTAGGTTGGAGGCCATCGCTACTAGCAACAAGAAGCTACTAGTTTTATCCACATGTTCTGAACTTTCCATGAAACTCCATGACATGGCTAAGACTTAAGAATTGCTCAGCCAAACTTATGGCCGATGGCCGATTTGAGCTCGCATCTTTTGGTGACTGTTGACTGGTTGAAGCAGAAGCACCAGTACCCACTGAATCCAGTGTTGTAGCTGGAAGCTAAAAGCTACATAGCTGTCTGTAGCAATACACGAGGTTGGTGCTCCCACATCTCCCACTCAGCTCTTGGGGCCAATCTTGGCCAGCGATTGACTGCTGCAACCGCGTCGGCCCTCTTGCGAGCGTGAAACTGGAACTAATGCCAGCATACAAAGGGGTGGAACCTCTGGGGCCTCGTGAATGTCCATTAACCAACTGGACAATGACAGTCTGAAAACCAAGTCATTTATGTATGTAATTTGACAGCCTGCCCGTCTGCGCCACTCCCGAACATGAATTGATTGCAAAGGGCATTGGCAACCCCTGGCGGCTGAAGGACCAGCAGCCAAGCACGCAGGCCGTGCAAAACAAAGCACTTGGCTCAAGCTGCAGACCCCACAGTGGCTGCCAGGGTATTCAAGCCGTGAGCACATCAGCAACATCACCGTGCGAGGGGCCAGATGGTCTCAGTTCACACGACAAGATCAAGTCACTAAACCCGCAACGTTGTGGTCTTGGTTTGAGGATTGGCCAAGTTGCAGTACCGGCCTTCGTTGCGGTACCGGCCACCGGAGCCTTCTGGCGTTCCCGGAGCAGGGCTAATGAGCGCAGCAGCGCCTCCTTCTCAGTCGAGATCTGCTGGGCCTCGATTGCACCATCTTCAAAGGCTAAAGCTTTAAAACAAAAGTCATGACAACAGCATTGGATATTGCACCGTTCCCTAGTCAAAAAGATTGAAGCGATTGCTGAACATCGATGGAGAAAACGGTCCACCGAGTAACACAATCTGTGAATAGCAATGTAATTTTCCACATCTACAATTATCAGGCTGCGCAACCTGCCTGGTGTGCATACTCAAGGGTCAGGTCATGGACTCTGTCCTGGCAGACTTAGGTGGCTTTCAAATGTGGGGCATTACTCATCCAGAATAATGTGACCCCAAATTTAAATTTCTGCAGAAATGCATTGGATACCATTTTTGGGGATCTATATTCTGTAAATCACGGTGCCTCCTCCTGCATCACCTTCTCTCGTTGCCGCTCCTTCTCTTTCAACCTTGGCCACGGCTTTCACATGCACGTGACCACATCACTTCTCCCAATGATTAGAAATGGGTTTGAAGAAATTACTTACCCAACATTGCCCAACCCAAATTATCAGACTCTCTGCTTTGCAAAGTCGTCTCTTCAATTTTATTTGGACTTTAGACTACTTCTGACAACCGAGAGGCTCTCGCAGCTCCTGCTGAGCCTCCATATTTTCTTGCAAAGCCATCTGCCGATCTAGATCCAAAGCTCTCCTCAGGAGTGAACAAAAGGACACGCCCTGGCACTGGGAAACATTGGTCTCCATTGGCTGTATTTCGTTGCGTTCCATGCTGAACCATAAGCATACCATCCACCCATCGGTAGCTCAAAGGGCCGATGCTCTGACCCAAGTCCAATCATTGGTCTCTGGGTGCTTGATCAGAATCACCCACTTCATGCCAAGTCAATCTACCTCAATACCATTCGATACCTAAATGATTCTACACTCATCGATCTGGGTAAGGGTCTGCAACTCTAAGCGCCACTGGGCATTGTCCAGATTTTCAGCGAGCTGCACCTGCATGGGAGCACTGCGCCGTGCATTTGATTCGAGGCAACGTCTGTCTTGTCAACTCAATGTTTCGAGGTGTTTCGTTGCCTTTATTCGCTCGATCTCTTCTTTGCGCATGGCTTGCTTCCATGCCCGCTTGAACTCCTGATATTCCTGTCCAAGGTGCAGTTGCGAGACTATTTTCACAGCCTTTGAGCTTCTACCATGCTTAGAGCACTGTGTGCACCCTCACTGACCATGCCACAATCTAATGCAAGCATAGTAAACACGCACATATATATATATATAATATATATATACGCCAAGCAAATACTGCTACGTCGGCCGTGAGAACAGATTGAATTGTATATATACGGAACGCTAGACCCGTCCTTGGACTCCAATAGTTCATGAAGACGTTGATCTCGAGACTTTCCTTCCACATACTCTCTCCTTAGCCATTGGCGTGAGATGACCTTGAAGTATTGGGTGGGTGGCTGTCTCATATTGATACAGCCATTTTATGCTGTCACACTGTACTTAAGATTCCTTAAGCACCTAGTTGTTCAAGGCAGGTGTCATTTCTTTGGCTTCTCGATCTCTCCACTCCATGATTCTTCTGGCCTCTGCCAGGTGCCAATCTTCTGATCACTGGAGTCCAGTAGCGAAAGCAGAAAGCACAGAATGTCAGTGGAAAGGGGTCATCCATGGTCATCTTCATGTGCGTGGCCTCTTCCCTTCTCTCCTCCTCTGTTTGATTCCGTTCTTCTCGTAGCATATCCCACTTGAGTTGCGACTCCATACCACGCATTTGTCTCACCTGCATGTGACAAGAAGTGACGTGACGACACGAACTGCTGCAGTCGTGTGACGAAACGAACGACGAACGCGCCTCTTTCTTCTCTTGATCCAAACGGATCCGAATCCCAGCGAAGTCTTTGGATGTGGGCATGGCAGCCGTGGAGATCGATGCAAAGGACAAGTTGCTCCCACCTGGAGTCATTCAGTTCCAAAGGGTACCTCAAAGCCTATCCAAAGCCCACCAGCTCTGTGGCCTGTTGCCACCACTTCCTGGCTCTTGGTCTCGCGACCCGCGCTTCGGGAGCGTGCGAAGGATGGCGGTTTGACCTGGCGCACTCTGGGAGTGAACGTCCAACAGCACCTCCAAAAGCATCACAGGATATGAAAGGTCAATGTTGATCCACATCTGTGCCCACAAATCCAAATTAAAATTTGGATTGTCCTTTGACATTCCTTTGACCCATTTTGATCCTAACTCTTTTGACAAAGGGCACGGACGCCAAAGGGAACTTTTATCAACGCCTGTACTGTCGGTCTCAAAATGCCTTAACCTTTAAGCTTGGTTTCAGGAACTGTGTCATCCCCCGGTGGAGCTTTTTCACCCCGTCACCACCATGGCGCGCTCAACGAGTCCCACCTCGAGATCCTTTGCTTGCGGTCTTGTTGGTTGAGGAGATGCAGTCCCGTTTAGCGAGTTCCTGCAACAAACACTCCAACTAAAGAGACATTTTTGAAATTGACATGTACACACTCCACCCTTTGGACACCTGCCTTGGGCGCAAAGGTTGGGCTTTTGCAACGTAAACCTTGGACTGAAGCAGCTGGTACTGGGCATGAAGAAATGATGCGTGCAGTGCAGAATGCAATCTGACCATCGCTCTCTGCACACGGCCATCTGCGGAGCATCTGCAAAATTAAAACACCAAGATACTCCCTTGGAAGACACCACTGGTTGCTTACCAGTTAAGGCAGGAGTTGGTGACGGACTGGACCGCCTTCTTGGGCTCACTCCTTCGCGATCGAGTGGAGGGAACCCAAGATCTCTGCTTCGTCAAGGCTTCAATGAATGTTGGGTGCTGCTGAGGGTGGTGATGCTAATGTTTTTCTTTAAAATGGATGATTGATGCTGCCGCCATCTGCAGACTACTGGCAGCTAGCACAACCTCACTTAGAAGTGTCAAATGGTTCTCTATATTGCAAAGTGGGAGGCTAGAAAGCCAATGATTCTCCTGTGACTAGCTGGTCGGGAGTCGGACACTCAACGTGCAGCCATATACTCTGCAAACGTTAAACCCCACCGCTGGTAGCTAACCATTGCCCCGAACTATATATGTAGATCGAATTCAGTTCCAGAGTGGACCAACCATCATTGATAGGCTTGTCTGGTGGTGCACCAGTCCACGAAGCAGATTGCACCATTCCTCCCTTCCCATGAAATACGTACTGACAGTATGCATCTGTGAACAAATTTAACACATACAAAAAAAGGGGCGGCCTGTAGTAGACACACGTGATGGCTTCGGCTGCGACTTTGCTGCGCCGCCTGTGCCGGCGCTCAGAGTGGACCAAGACCTGGGTGAGCCAAACACAGGGGCCGAAGGAGGGTGGTCACCGATATCCGATGGTCTTGGCAGAAAACCGACGGTTTGGGCCATGCAGCAAATTGAATCCAGCAGATCTTGAGGTACTGATGGTGGCACTGGTGGCAGAATTGTTGGGCGATTTGTGGTAGCCATTGCTAACACCTGAGGCAAAGAGGCGGAAGTTCGAGGAGAAACGTGAGTCCCTCAAGTTTCACATGCTGAGCAAACTGAATCAAGTCTCCAATCTGCAGCTCTGCGGCTCTTGGCTGCCAGTGGGGTACGATATGCCGCTTTTGGAGACATCGGCCTGCAACAAACCGGAAGCACCAAACTCCCATGTGGGGAAATCGCACTGCCCACCTCACTGGTGCAGCTTTGGGTGTCGTCTTTGATGGACTGGGTTTCACTTCCTCTTTCTTGTGTTGTGGCGAACTTGGCGCGGATCTTGGGTAGGCCGGCTGCAGTGGATCCAGTGGGCTTGCACTGGCGCGAGCTGGGCTGGCTGCTGCTGCCACTAAGGAGCTTGGAGCCAGCTGTAAGGCGGCACGCAGCCAATGATAGAGCTGAACTGCACCTTCGTGGACTTCCGCCAGGCCGGTGCTTGCAGCGTTCCCAATCTGCAGGAGCTTCTTCTGCGCAAAAATGATATTGCTATCATTGACTTGCCCTTGCTCCAAAGAAGAGGGGAACTTGCGCAAAGAGCTCACGAAATGGCCAGGCTTCAGCAAGACTCTCCGGGCTTCCTCCCAATTCTCTGGGGCTTCAGGACCGAGGCCCATCTGGCCCAGGTACTCACAACTCACCAGGTGCAAAACTGCCAGTGTGACAGCCTCCACATTGGGAGGGACTTCAGTCAAACCCCGCAGTCCAACTACAGCTCGAACTGTCACGCCCTCTAAGGCATCCAGCAGTTTGCTATGAATATCTTCAGGGATAGTAGGATGAGGCGTTGGCACCGGCACAGCTGTACGCTCCAAATCCTCCTCTGCTGCTTTCCTCACACGCTCGGATGGGCCCTTGTGGCCCTCAGACATCTCATGAACCACTGCTTTCCACCGCGCATGCAAACCTGCTTCCAGAGCTCTGATGGCCTTGAACCGGCGATCTTCGTTGCTTTTGGATCGCAGGCGAGGACCCAAAGTGGTCATCTCCTCAACCAGGATCCTGGCCCTTCTTTGACGTGCTGGCTCCGCCGAATCACCTGCCAGCAATTGTCAGCATGAATAACAAGAGCTAGGCACATCTATATAGCAACTAGTAGCAGCTATATAGTTATATACCTCTTGTGATGAAAGCAAAGGAGGGTGGAATCGGTGCAAACTCATGTGATGCAGCCAATTTGGCCCGTCCGAGTTCGCTCCAGAGTTGACCCTGCCTCCATCGAAGGTGACCCGCTCAGAAAGGCGCCGCAGCCTTTCCTCCTCACAAAGAACATCGATGGGCCGCTCCATGGCTGTGGAAGGCCTTCAAAAAGCCAGATTCTTCAGCTGAATGGATTGGTTTGTTGGACCATTCTGGGGTGATTTTGGTGCAGAGGTATTGGCATGGTAGGGAAATGCAGGGAAGCTAGTGACTATGTGCAAATCTCTGGTTGGAAGAAGTTCAAACTCCATGTTCCGCATGGAGAGATGCAAATCTGCTGCCCTGCAAGCTAGCAGCTATGCACTGTTGAGCTGGATGTGAAGCGGAGGCTATGTTTCCTGATGTCACTTTCCCGAGATTACTTTAAAGACAGCTTTGCAACATTGACCCCCAACACGAGATCGTTGAGGCCTCTTTTCACATGGAGGGGTTGTTTGCTGTACAGCTCCTTCCTAAAAGGACGAGAGGAGCAAATCGCTCAATGTCGATCAACAGCCACTCCTACTCACGGCTCAGTGCGCAGCATTTACCTGGAGACATGGAGGTCGTCCGAAGCGATATGCCATACTGACGGAAGGCAACTGTTGACCATGTCCGTTGCCATATATGATACATGTTCTCTTCCATTTTGATCAGGAGAGTGCCAAAAACATGCAGTAGATTGAGGAAGGCTTTTCGTATGAGATCCCGGCCAAGGAATTGAAATTCATCTCTGCTTCCCTGGCGGATTCCTCAAGAATTCCAAATAAAAACTCAATGGGGCCACCTCCCACAGTCCTAAAGAGCTTCTTTAGAACAAAGCCATCATGGAACTGGGGGAATTTGGGCCTCCAGAACTCGTTGCAATTCATCCTGCCAGGTTTGCTGCAGGGTTCAGGGGTTGCAAGGAACCACTCAAGCCGTTGCTTCTCCGAAAAGTACGCGAAGCGAGCGAAGGAAAAACAATGGTACTCTCATTTTGCAAGGAAAGCGTAAGGAAAACCAAACAAAGGAAGAACTTCCGAACGATGTTGGAACACCAGCCGCCAGGACTTGGGCCGACCGAGGACAGTAAGCCTCGAAATCCTCCACACCAGCTTCTCGGCATGACTCTTCGAGTGCCCTTCGCAACATGGCCTGCAGGAGGCGGGAGTTCTAGACATCGGTTGCTCAAAGAAACGCTTGGAGGGGGTTGAAGAGAGAAAGGGGAGAGCTAGAATCTTGACACAATGAATCAAAATGACACACATACTGCTACAAGTAATTACTAAGTAGATCTAAGTAGTATTTTTATAGCACGCCTCTTCATCAGCTTCAAAGTCTGTCAGCACCTGCCACTGCTTCGTGTCATTGACAAAAAACGCAGAGCTTTCACAAGACTTGCGAACAAAAGCTAAACTCCCTGAAAAAACTGAAAACCAACCTCTGAATGAACAAACGGTAATTACAGGTGTAGGTCTAGGTGTACAAGCCGGAGGCGCTGCATAATCGCAACGATGTCTCAATTCCAAATGCGACATGAAGTCTCGCGAGACCTTAGTAGGTGGAGGATATCCTGAAGTTCTGGGGCCATTCACAGCGTTATGAGGTGCAAAGAGGTCTGAATATCAACGAGGCCAAAGCGTAGTTCGGATCGCCCCAAGGCATAGCAGCACATATTGGACACCTCAGGCCACACAATGCTGGGCGTATGCACGCGCAATCACGCGCACACTCTCTCTCTCTCTCTCTCACGCAAACATGATGATCAAAACGGGTTCAATCATGCTACAAGTATGGGTGGACTGTGAGAAAAACAAATGAAACACAACGAAACAGCTCCATGATGCCCCTTTCATTGTGTTGAGTCCTCAACACTGCAGATGTTGGAGCTCCAGGTCCTTTGTGTTTTGCCTTGCAATGCTCAATCCTCGGGTGGACGTTGCAGCGCGAGTGAACTGCAAAAAGAAACATCGACTGGCGAGGCACAAGGAGTGGCTGCTCAGATTGGATTCTGGACCTAGCAAGACGATGTAAAAAATCAACAATAACAAACACTTGGCTAACTTGGCTTAAAATGGCTCAAAGCAAGCCAAGTGTTCAACACTTGGCTCCTGACACCATGGACACTTGAAGGTCGATCTGTTGGGAGTAGCTGGTGGCTTCGGCCCTTGTCGCGGTCATTGCGTGCACGAGGCTTTTGGTGCAAGCTATCAACCTCTAGCAGCGTCCTTGCTCCGTTCGTAGCGATGCCAGGAGCCCCTAGTAGCTTCTTGTTCCTAGTCGCCTGTCGGAATGCCCTCAACTTCGATCTTGGGACATTTCTTCAATCGTCCGCAGTCATGACCTTGGCTCCAGCTGAACAAAGATATGACTCTTGTAGCATCAAGACTGTGGTGAGCACTCTCTGCTTCCAAGAGGGGAATGTCCTTTTCACCTCGACGTGCCCAGCAGCGGCTTTCAAGTGACGAGCAGCTGCTTTGTGACTTAGATTCAGGCATGCAGAACATGTTAATGTCGTTGCCTTCACCTGAAGGTCATGAGTCATGGGTCTAAATGCAGTCTCAAGTCTCAAGCAAAGCTTCCAAACCTCTGCTGCAAACTCTTCATCAATATCGTTGGAGAGCTGCAGGCTACACACGGGGCCTCGGGTTGGACACAGAACCTAGCTTCACTTCTGGATCAAATCATCTGCCCGAGTTGCGCACAACTTTGAAGGGATCCCTGGCTGGCACACTCTTTGCAAATCCGATGTGGGCCTTGGATTGTTCCTCGCCACTAGAGGAACGTTTGAAAGATCGAGACTCAATACTCTGTCTCTGCTGTCGACACTACCAGTATCACTTGGATGAGCTTGGACTTGGAGACTTCGATGAGCTTAGCAGCGAGCAATCGGATTTGAGGGGAACTTCAGGGATTGAGAGACAAACCTGAGTGACACCAGCACAGCAAGGCAGTGAACACATGCGACACTGACACAGTTACTTTTTGTGAGCCGGGAAGCGCAGCACTTAAACTCAGGTGGAATCTGCATCGCTGAAAAATCGAGAACCCGAAGTCGGAAGGTGACAACTTAAAGCTGGAGAGTGCGGAAGGTTTCTCTATATTTCTCTATTGTGTTCTTACTTGATGCTTTATCCTTTTGCTCCCTTATCTTTTCTCCCACAACATGCCTTCTGGCTGGCTTGAGCCGTTTAGCTGCCGCAGTGTGACAGGTGGTGTGCATGAAATGAAACTTGGCAAAACCTTTCCAGGGTCCACTTGACAAACAATCGAAAAGCCCAATGGAATTGAAGACCACACACCACACGCCCAAAGTTCTTTGTCCGAAGCGCGCGCTGCACCCCAGGCCTGAGAAGACAAAATGTTTTGCGCTCGCTGCACCCAACATCTCCAGGTGTGGTGCTGGTGTGGTATGCAAAAGGTCTGCAAGTCCATGCTCACGGTACTGAGATAACCTTGGAGTTGAATTGTCTGAGAATTTGGGTGTTGGATGATGTTGGATGGTGGTCCATCATATCAAGCTCTTCTCGTCTCAGGATCTGAGCGGATCTGAGGATCGAACTCATCGTCTAAGGCTTCAAATTTTCGATCGCGCTCGCTGACGTGAACACTCACCTCGTGTGCAGCTGCACTGGTGTCGCGTGAGGAGAAGAAACGCGTCGGCGTCGTGTGGCATCCATCGCACGTCGACGGCAAGCGAGGACGCCAGCAGCATTTTCCTCGACTGCAAGCAGCACTCTGCAACACATGCACCAGGCATGGCGAGTTACCAAAGCCCAGAAAGACATCCAAAGACCCAAACAACCTGTCAGCCTGTCAGAGCGGCCTTTTGCTAGCCCAGACTGGCATGGGTTATTCGGCATGCTCGTTTTCAAGTGAGACTTTGTCCGCGAGGATGCCAATAGCTCCATTAACCTTTCTCCGTGGAGTGAAGGGAGCTGCATCCCTCAAGGCTTCTCTGATAGGGCCTCACCGCACAACTTACTTGAGTCTTCGCTTGACCTGAATGACCATGGTCCATGGTTACCAACACCGCTGACTATCCCAACATTTATCCGCCGATGTTGTGCCTTCATCCTCCAGTGCAACTGGTGGCAAAGGTGGTCGACGTGCCCTCAGCAGTGGTGCTGGCTACAGGAATGGCACTGGAAATCCCTAGCCTAGCAGGCCTTGCCTTGCACACGCGTCTGATCGCCGCAAGCGTGCCTGGAACTTCAATACCATTCATTGAAGTCATTGACGTTCAAAAAGCTTCCCGAGCATCTTCACAGCCCAAGGGACTAGACGGGTTCAAAGCAAAAAACGAACTGCTACCAGGGGCACCAGTAAGTCTCGCTCTTCACATAGGAGCTCTGCTTCTTTTGGCCGCGGAACCTGTTGCGCAAACACCTGGTGGCGTGCAGTGGATATCCAAATGGACTCCTAAACATGGTCATTTGAACATAGTTCTGCACATACATAAATTGTGCTTATATTAATCAATAGATTTACAATTTACAAGTATATAATTGTATACTGGCCGAGGCTTGCGGAATCCGATTGGCCTTCGCGACTTGAGCTTCGGAAGGCTTCTCCGAGGCGGCAGTCGAAGAGGAAAGGCTGGGAGACCTACCGTGCAAGCACAACCATTCAACGCGACTGGCGGACCGACCTTACCCCAGCCAAAGTTGTCCGACATTTTGATCCCAAGAGAATCCAAATATTATACCATCAATTCATATTTATGCGCAAGGCAAACTTGGATTTTGACGATCTCGGCTCAACTCCCGGTGTGCTGAATCTCCTGCCTTTCCAATTGACACCACAAAACAGCTTGGCGATTTTCTTGGTCTGCTCGTTGCTCTGAGGCACTTCCTAAGTGACACCGCATAGCGGTTTTCGCAGCCCTGCAGTGTCAGTGCAAGCTACAGCATGTAGCAACCTAGCAATCCTGCACCGTTTCAGCATGCAAACTGATTGACAATTGCTGCTCCGGCTCTGCGATTTGCGCGGACTCTCTCGTCTGCAGCCTGCTGCCGGGCAAGGCGAGCTTGAGTTCGACGCCAATTGTTGTCTTGCTTCTTCTGCTCAACGGCCTGGCGCAGACGGCAAACAGCTGATAATGGTACCAACATGAACCAACTACAGGAAACTTCAGGCACCCTGGAGCTTGGTTCGTTTCTGCAAAGCGTGCCAAAACCGTTGCCTTCTTCATATTCTGCTTGAAAACCGTCTGATCTTGCAGCATCTGCTGATTCTTCATCCGTGTCTCCAGCACCTCCCGGGTGCGCTTGCGGACCTCCTCGATGATTCGCAAGGCCTTCACCTCTTCTGCGCGGAGCAAGCGCAAGCGATTGGCCAAGAGTTGGGCATCGGCTTCCGCTCGCTTGCGCGCGTCCCGGGAGGCCGCCAACTTCTGCCGCGCAATGCCATTCCATGTCTCCATCTCCTTCTGTAACTGCTGATGGATGTCACGTTCATCACCTAATGGGCTAACGGCTAGGGAAAAGCCAGGGTCGAAATCCAATAGCTCCGTTCCATGCAGCCAGGGCACTTTCCAGCAGCTCTTCGAAAGAGCTCTCTTGCAAGAGAATGTCACCCAGCATTGCAAAGTGGCCACAAGTGGCCACAATACGTAAGCGGCACTGATTGGCCGTTCATTACTTTGAGCCTTGCATTTACTGGTCATGAGCCAGCTCTCAAGAAGGAAAGTCGTAGCACTAGCACTGGTGATGCATGCATTTAGGCACAGCAGTGTGTCACGAATATGCAGTGTAATATAGTAATCTGTCGTAGCTTCTGTCGTAATATAAATATATATATATATACAATATACTATATATATATATTGCAAATTGCGGCATTCCGAAGGTCCACAATTCGTCGCCATCCGTACAGCACTCAAGAGCCCCCTCGGGTTTTTGGAGAAAAGGAGTGACCACTCTCGTGCTGCCTCCTTCCGCTCGCTTTTCACTCGCATGGTAGCGGTATAGCCTGGTTAATCCAGGTTAGTGGCCACTGAAGCCCTGCGGCAACAGTGGAGATCCGGGGATGGAATCTTTACCACGGAGTAAAGATGGGGTACCGACCTTTGACGGGTCGGCTGAACATCTTGCGATGTTCAAAGAAGAAGCGCTGGCATACCTGTTCACCCTCGAACACCACAAACGATACCTGGCAGGTCCCAGACTAGCTCAAGGGTTGACTGGTGTGGCCAGAACGGTGATTCGCAAGAAGTTGGCGATTGATCCACAGTGGCTTGCTCATCCGAGGGGGGCTTATGACCTGATAGAGCACTTGGAGCAAGCCCTAGGACAACCAACTTTGATACAAGCAGCTCAGCACATACAGAAGTTCTTTTACCAGTTGAAACGGAAGCGCAATGAGACCATGACACAGTGGACCAGTCGTCACAGTGAAGCATTGTGGGATGCGTCTAGGGCCCTGCAGCGTGTGAACTCGGAGCATAGCAGTGTGAACACTGTTGGAGGGAGCTCGAAACACACACTCAAGGCCTATAGCGACGCCAGCTGGGGACGTGGAAGTCATGGATCCTTGACTGCAGCTCGTCGAGATGATGCACTTCGAGCTGGAGCAGGTGATGGGGGACCATTCGATGAGAATGGGAGAATGCGTGATGATGGAGAAGCCTCAGAAGCAGCTGATCCGTGGGCTCGTCGCGAACTGGCTCCCTCCCAGGATTGGGATTGGGACTGGAAGCATTCAGAGTGGTCTGGATGGCATGGGAGCACATGGCACAGCGAGGAGTATGAACCTCCAGCTTCGTGGCATACGGAGGTGAAGGACTTCATCCCAGAGCACTTGACAGGATTCTTGCTGCTGCAACGATCTGGATTGGATGCCAGCGAACGTGCAAATGTGTTGGCAGCCATTCGTGGCCAGTTTTCAGTTGCAACAGTGGAAAGAGCCCTCAAGGAGCAATGGTCGGATGACGACCTCATGAAGAGGGACAAAGCTCACTACAGCGCCAATCTGGCTTGGGAGGATGACGAAGAGCAACTTTTGCTTGCAGGTGAAGTTCCACCCGATCCTGACTATGAGCCCGAAGCCTATGCAGCCTTCATGGATGAGCAGAATGTGATAGATTCTGCCCTGGAGGCCATCAAGGAGAAGAAGAGAACGCTGCAAGAGGCCAGATGGCGCCAACAACAGGTCCGCAGTGGACGCAAGTTCTATGGACCTCCCACCAACAAGGGGGGTGGAAAGGGACAGTTTCGACATGGAGATCGTGATCATGGACCTCAGAAGTGTCTCAAGTGCGGAGGCCCGCACCAGACCTCCAACTGTCCAGTACCAAAGAAGCCTCAGGCCAATGTGACTGAGGAAGCGGAAGTGGCTTTCAAGGCACACCAAGAGTCGCTTTCGTGTGAACAAGCTCAAGTGTCGGCTGAGGTCTGCGAAAACATCCGCTTGGGAAAAGGGATCATCGACTGTGGCGCCACCGCTACCTTAGGCTCAGTTGCTGCGGTCGAAGCCCTGATGCGAAACCACTGGACCAAAAAGGGCAGTGATGGAGTGGAGGTAGATGTGAATACCACCCCCACTTTTCGTTTTGGAAACAATGGAACCCAAGCATGTGTATCCACCGCCAAAGTGAAGGTGGACTGTGGTGAGAAGGTTGGTGACATGTCTATTCATGTTCATGACTTACCCAACCAACCAATTTTGGTTTCCATCAAATCTTTGAGAGCGCTCGGGGCCGTGGTGGACTTCGGCCGAAATGAAGTGATCTATCGTTCGATTTGCCCGTTGAGTGTGGTTAGGCTGGAACAGGCCGCAAATGGCCATCTCCTCATGCCCCTGAGCGACAATCTTTTGGCAGGAGCCACCCGCCGAAAACAGGCTTTTGGCGCGCTCGGTGACGAATAGGGACTCAGCTCCTCCTTGGAGAAAATGGACATGGCGTCCAGGGGAGCACTACAGACAGTTTGAATGCATGTCGTGAGATCGGAACTTGTTCGGTTTGCACATTGTTATCTGTACAGAACTCGTCGTGCACTTTTTGTGGACATGAAGAAGTTGTGACTAAAACTTGTTGTGATAATGATAATATCAGGTCCGTGCTTGAGTCTAATGTTTTTAATTCTGTTTTATCCCAACAGCAGCACTCTACAGCATCCAGCAGTGGACAGCTAGATTCGCCAAGTCTTTCAGCAAGTGATCATGCCGACCGAGACCAAACAGGAGCTCATTCGCAAGATCGAGGAGCTGGGAGAGGCAGCCTCATCCAGCATGACGGTGATGCAGCTGAAGGCACTTCTGTCGGAGTTGAAGACGTCAGCCAAGGAGTCAGATCGGTTTGCTCTTCAGAACAAACTGCAGGCCTTGAACAAGGCCGCAAAGAAGAAGGCGACTCTCCAGGCACTGGCAGACGACATGAACGTGTCCTACACAGCAAGCAACACCATTCCTCAGATCTATGCAAAGGTCGAGGAGAAGGTTTCGATGGAGCACCCAGGCAACCCTTGGGACAAGGTGAATTTCGGCAAGCATGCCGAATGCAACTACAAGGACATCCTGGAGACACATCGCAGCTATGGGCAGTGGGTGATCCAGACAACAAAGGAGAATCCTACGGGAGCCCATTGGCGACTTCGTCGACTGGCACAATGGTTGGAAGAGAACTGGGACACACCGGTGAGGAAGGGCCCAGAGATCCGTTCGCTGACACGGCCATCCTCCAGCCGGGGCAAAAGCTCGGGCTACCAACCGACGGCCCAGGACCTGGCAGACCTGCGCCGAGAGATGATGGAGCCTCACTCCGACAGTTCTTTCGTGAAGGTGAACCCGTCCGATTCCGAGCAGGAGTTGGAGCGAATGAAGGCCGAACTGGAACAACTGAAGTCGGAGAACGCCCAGCTGACCCGGCAGGCGGAGCGCAGCAAGTCCCGCAAGGAGATGTGAGAGAGTTGATTGAGCCAGATAGTGATTCAGAGTGGCAGTCGTGTCCGGAACAGCAGTGCTTTCATACTCACAAGAAGATTGGACAATCATGGCTTGAGAATCGCAATCCATATGGTCAAGTTTGGAATGAACTCATTCGACAAGGTCGTGTTTTCCTTCTTGAGGTGGCATGTGGGCCGCAGAGTGTTCTTTCAGAAGAAGTCATGAAACAGCTTGGACCGGACACAGCCGTTCGATGTTCTATTTGGAATGGCTATGATTTGACAACGACCACAGGTGTAAACAAACTCAAGAAACTGATTCGAGAGACTCGACCAGTTCACATTTGGGTTTCTTGTGACTGTGGACCCTACTCACCATTACAGAGGTTGAATCAGAAAACACCAGAACAAAAGCAGGTTTTAGAATCAAAGAGAGAATACGCTCGTAGAGAGTACAGTGGAGGCATTGAAGTGGCCACCTACGGTCGGCGTCATGGTTCTCAGGTTCATTGGGAGCTCTCCGAACGCTGCGAAGCATGGAACCTTTCATGCATCCAGGCCTTTCTCTCTCAACTAGGCCTCCAAAAGGTCACCTGCAATGGTTGTTGTGTTGGCCTCCGAGCCCATGATACCGGAGATCTTATGTGCAAGGGTTGGAGCATTGCTACAACAAACACTAGCCTGTTGAGACACCTTCACCTTCCCTGTCAAAGGAACCACAAAAAGGTAGTGTGTGAGAGCGGTAGGCCAGCACAATCCGCATACTACACTCCAGTGTTTGCGAAAAAGGTGGTGGAGGCTCTACGAGAACATGAGACCTGGTCAGTTTTGACGTGTGAGCTCAGCGAGACTACATGTTCGGAAGATCCTCTCTTTTGTGTTGAACCTTGTGAAACAGCATTGGTCAATGACGGAGAGATTTCAGTCGAGGAGAAACAACGAATCATGAGGCTCATCCGGCATATTCACTGTACCACAGGTCATGGTTCCATTGCAACGCTAGTGAACTCCCTAAAACATAGGGGAGTGCCTGAGAGGATCCTGAATTTGGCTCGCGAGTTCAAGTGTGTGATTTGCGAGGAAAGGAAGCGAACCACACCGCATCGACAAGCAACCTTGGAGACATTGGCAAAGAAGTGGCAGCGACTTCAGTGTGACTTGGGATCCTGGACACATCCACAAACAAAGCATAAAGTGAAGTTCATTCTCTTCATTGATGAAGGATGCCGTTTCCGGGTGGGTCGCATACTATTTGAAAACAGTCGCAATCAGGCTACTTGGCCCATTGTCAGAAAGGTGTTTGAAGAAGCATGGCTAGCATCGTTCGGTCAGCCCGAAGAGATTCGTGCGGATCCAGAGGGCATTTGGAGAAGCTCATCTTGAGCCCAATTCCCGCAGAGGCACATTGGCAGATAGGTGTAGTTGAAGAGGCAATAGAAGCTCTGAAACACGTCATGACATCGTTGGCCCAGGATTTCTCTGAGATGGAGGTGTCAGAACTTTTCTACAGGTCAATTTGGGCATGCAATAGTAGAGACAACCAACATGGATACTCACCTGCTCAACATGCCATGGGAAGATCTCCAGATGAATGGGGAAGATTGTTCGATAGTGAGGTTGAAGGTCATCCCATTCACCCCCAGCAGATGGTCGATGGAGGTTTCAAGGAGAACATTCAGGCGATGGCAGCAGCAGAACAGAGTTTTCTCAAATTCCAGGCCAAGACAAGGCTTGCCAGAGCAGAAGCTGCCGGCACTCGGCCCTTGAAGTCATTCGCTCCAGGAGATCTAGTGTTCTACTGGCGAAAACAAGTCCAGGGCGGCGGTGACAAAGGCTTCTCTTGGCGAGGACAATTCCTTGGCCCAGCTCGAGTTTTAGCCGTAGAGACTCGAGTAGATGATGAGGGCAAGCTTCGGCCCGGCAGCTGCGTTTGGTTACATCGTGCAGGGAGGCTGATCAAAGCCGCACCAGAGCAACTGCGAGCAGCATCCAGTCGGGAGAAGGCAGTTGAAGAACTCGAAGGACCATGTGAGATCCCTTGGACCATTACAAGCTTAGCTTCCCATCCACAGAGATCAACATACTGGGATATTTCCTCAGAGGTCCCCAACAATCAACAGTGGCAAGAAGCATCAGAACATCCTACAGGTAGGCGGCGATGTGTTGGAAAGAGAACTATGGAATCTACAGATACAAGAGCAGCCCGACCCCGACTGGATGAGCAGGATGCTGAGATGCCCGCAGCTTCAGAAGCAGCACAAGTGACAGAGGAACAAACTTTCACAGTGTTTGAGGTGACAGTTGATATTCCGAGTTCAAACAGGGGCTTCAAGAGGTTTTGTCAAAATCCAGAGGCGTTTGTGGTCAACCAGATCAAAAGATCCCACATAGAGGTTCGTGAACGATCCATGACAGACTCTGAATTGGCGGAATTCAAGGAAGCAAAGGGTAAGGAAGTTCGCAATTACATTCAATCCCATTGTTTCAAAGTGCTGCCTCCAGAGTTGCAGAATGCAGATGATGCAGTGGGCATGAGATGGGTGCTCACGTGGAAGCTGGGAGACGATCCAGATCGTCCGCGGAAGGCAAAAGCCAGGGCAGTGATTTTAGGCTATCAGGACAAAGACTATGAGTACAAACAGACTTCAAGTCCTACTTTGTCTCGATCAGGTCGCCAATTGTTTTTAGCCTTTTGCTCCAGACATCACTTCCGAGTCCGCAAGGGCGATGTGAGTTCAGCATTTCTCCAGGGGGATGAACTGGAGAATGGAATGCTCGTACAACCAACAAGAGAGATTTGCGAAGCTCTACAGATTCCGGAGGGATCCGTGACACAATTACAGAGAGCAGCGTATGGATTGGTTGAAGCACCTTTATGGTGGTACAAAAGTGTCTCTAGCTATTTGCTTTCAATTGGGTATTCTCGAATGAAGACAGAACCTTGCATTTGGGTATACTTTGACAAACAACAAAAGCCGAGATCAGCAATCAGTGGTCATGTGGATGATTTTCTTTTTGCAGGTTGCGATGGTGACCAGGTACATCAAGAGTTGATGAGCTTGATCCAAGCAAAGTTCAAGTGGGGAACATGGGAAGACAGTCCATTTCTTCAATGTGGTGTTAAGGTGATACAAGATGATCGGTTTGGTTTCACACTGTCACAACAAGACTTCATTGAGGGTTTAACTCCCATCAAACTTTCCCGAGACCGTGTTCGACAACGAGAACAATCCACTACAGATCGTGAGAAGTCTCAAATGCGAGCAGTGTTGGGAAGCTTGAGCTGGGTTTGTGGACAGACCAATGTGTTACACAGTGTTGATGTGAACTACTTGGTTTCCACTATACCTCTCAGTACAATTCAAGATGTGGTGAAACTCAACAACCTAGTGGAAGAGGTAAAGCGCACAGCACCACAACTCAAGATACATGCACTACAAAAGGGTGAACCTGTGGATTTGGTTGCATGGGGTGACGCCGCTTGGGCGAACAGGCCAGACAATATAGCAAGCACCGAAGGGATTGTTTTGGGCATGGCACCAAAAGCTCTCAGACAAGGATCCTTGACCAACGTCTCTCTGCTCAGCTGGAAATCCGGCAAGATAGAACGCAAATGCCGATCGCCGGCGTGTGCCGAAGTTCATGCCGTAGTCAACGCTGAGGACGAACTGTATCATATGAGATACCTTTGGTCGGAGATGCATTTTCCCAGAAGTGTTTTGAACACCTTGACAGCAGCCAAGATCGTAGCACTTTCACCAGGCATTGTGGTTACAGACAGCAAGAATTTATACGATAGGTTGGACAAAGACACGCCAACAATCAAAGGTGAAGAGAAACGAGCAACAATCGAGGCATTGGCTCTCAAGGACTCCTCAGAAGAATCAGGTACTGAACTTCGTTGGGTTCACTCGGACGCCCAGCTTGGAAACTCGTTGACAAAACCCACAGAGAAGGGACAATTACAACTGTTTTTCAAGTTGGGACAGAGATGGAGGATCGTGTATGATGAGAACATGAGGCCAGCAAGAAAACGCAAAGCTGTTGGGATAAAACCTATGGATAACTAGTTCGTGTGTGTTTGTGATTTTGTTTGATTTGACTTTTAAATTTAACGTCCACCAGTGCAAATTGCGGCATTCCGAAGGTCCACAATTCGTCGCCATCCGTACAGCACTCAAGAGCCCCCTCGGGTTTTTGGAGAAAAGGAGTGACCACTCTCGTGCTGCCCTTCCGCTCGCTTTTCACTCGCATATATATTATCTTGGTGACTCCCTTCTGCTAGAACATGCTAAATCCATTTAAAAGCCGGCTCTTTTGATAGGAACCATACTTTCTCCTCTCTGTCTCTGGACCTCGGTGAGAGCGTGCTGCGAGACATCGCCAGCTGCCTCACAACACGCATCTTTGGCCATGTGCACTCTCTCCCCACCTACTAGGAGCAAAAGACGCTACTAGGAGCAAAGGGCATCGCTACTAGGAGCAAAGATGCTACTAGGGGCCTCTAGTATTGCAAGGTATATGCCTGGAGCAACTCTTGAGCCTCCTGCCACTAGCGCAGCTGCAGCTTCAGGCGACAAACTCACTAATCTAGACGGTCTTGATGGCCGTGGTGAAGCAGGACGAGCACGGGCCTGCAAACACACTACAGTATTTCACTTTTACTAAACAAGCCGTAGCTGTGCAGCTTGGGCCTTCCGTTTGGGCCTTTTCTTGCTCTTTGGCTCTCTGGCTGCTTCCTAGCCGCACTTTTGTGGTGTGCATGGCTGCCTGTCTACAAAGGAGCCCGTTGCCTCGTGCTTTGCAGGTTTTGAAGCCAGCTCTGATTCCGGAGCCTTCAGCCAAAGTTTAACAAGTCGCCTCTTCCGCGCTCTCGAAGCTCTGCACCTCGTCCGGTTTAGTTGTCGGCAATGGCTTGACCTCAAATCCAGGCCCAGGCAGCAGTCATTTCGGTGCCTAAAATGTGAGGCTGCAACATCATAGTACAGTGCTGCCAGGAACGGTACACCCTCGGACAGCTGGGGCTCTTTGGCCTTCACCTGGCAAGGTCGCAAGAACCGTAAGACCATGCAACAGCTGGGTACTGACTGAACGACCTGGCCCTGCCTGGGGCTGCTCCAGCAGTTCAGACAAGTTGCCTTAGCTGTAGCTCAGAATGGTGCACACCCATGCGTACCCAATGTACCATTGGACACTTCATCGCGATGAGCCGGGTTGTGAAAAATGAGCAAACATTGGGATAACAAAACAGTCAAGAAACAAACACGTCACAAGTTCCTGTCTTACGTCCACTCTCCTACCTCTCTCGTCCTCCTTCCTCCCCCGAGACAGAAAGCAAAGATTGACCGCCTCTGCGAACTCGCAGGGTGATGTTCTCTGCATTGGCTGTGACCGTGTCCAGCTCCCCTTCCTGACTGGGCAGTGCCAAAAATGCCCTCTTCCGTCTACCCTGACCAAAATATCCTGCCTCCAGCATCATCTTCAGGCTGTACTGGCCTTCTGGCAAGTCGGTTCTGACACCCCTTTAGTTTCTCGATGTTTCTTGCTGTAGATTCTCGATTCTCGAGAGGTTCCCACCAAACCACCCACTCACACTATCCTTGTTGAACTTGCTACCTCGTCGGGGCCTCTGCGATCAGGGCCAGCGATGATGGTGCCAGTGAGGCCTTCCAATGCTTTCGACGCTTTCTCACTAACTCTTAGGGCACGCGTTCAGGTATGTTCAGCTTTTGGAATGCAAAAGATGATCACTTAGGCTGAGTGCACTTGAACAACATATACCACATAGTAGCACTGTGGCGCTAAAAAATGTGATCAGGCCTTCAAGCTCTGGCCTGGTAGCAAGGCCTGTCGCAGAACAAGCAACAACCGAGAGTGGCGTCTGAAGCTACATAGCCTCTTTGACTCCAAGCCCCGCTGGAAATCCTGTGCTGGAGTCCTTTCATCTGTTCTTTCAATCTGTTTCTTTTAGAATCTCTTTAGCATCGTTTAGCCATAAATCGTGTGGCTCTTTGGTCTTGACTGTTGCAAGTCGCTGGCAAGGGCTACAGGGTGCTTTGACCAGTTTAACCCTGGAATCCAGCTGTTTCACCTCCATCGACCAGCAGCTGAATGCCCCGTACCATTCTTCCAGCTGGGCTGGTCAAGTACACTACGGCATTTGCTATATCTGAAGGCTGGACGATCTTCCGGCTGGGAGAACTTTTTGCATACTCTTCTGCGTCACCGCCGATCATTGGTGTTTCTGTGGCACCGGGGCAAACACAATTGACACGCACATCTTGACTCGCAAGTTCCAACGCCATGCTCTTGCAAAGTGCAATGCAAGCTGCATTTGAAGCAGCATATGCAGTTGCATGCGCAGCACCAACTACACCATAGTTTGAAGCGATTGCTATCAAGGAGCCGCCACCCCGCTATTCCACATGATGTTTCAGATGCTTTTTGGACTCACGTCCTGCCGCCCAATTCCGGCTCCAGCGTTGGCCAGGGCTCTGCACTCTCGACCAAGACAAACGACGTTGCCATCACATCGAAACGCCATAGCTCAGCCTGTCTCCCGAAAAAGGGGCCTCCCTACACATTCAATCAACTGAAAAGTGGCACTTTAAGAAACCGCGGCTGGACTGACCAAAAACTTCACCTCCAAGCTAAGTCTGACGTTACCAGAATCCTGCCGCGCGCATGGCTGATGTGTGCTCCAATACTCACAGTCACAGGCATAGATTTCGTATTGCTATGGTTTTGCATGTCTTAGCCTGTGTTTTTCAAAATTAGACACAGTTTCCACGGCATGCGTTGGTTGCACAGGCCACACTTGTTTTCTCAAAGCAATCGTCACAATCTGCTCAACCCCAAAACCTGGGCATAGGTTCTGAGGGCAGCGAACACGCAGTCATTGTGGCCACAGCCCTGGCAGATTGCCAGAATGGTGTCGGATGCGGTGACCACATTCTGCAAAGCATTGCAAAGCGAGTCAGGCATATAAGGCCCACCACAAATGATTCATTAGGATGGTCCTTATATGTCCTTATGACCCAACGCCATATCCAAGCCTCTGGTTTCAGGAGCTTGCACTCCTTACCTTGTGCCTGGATAGACTCGAAAAGCTCCTTGCATGCAATCAAAAGGAAAAAGCAACACTCCAATTGATAGTGCCACTGAATGTCCCCTAAGACACTCCACAACCGTCCTCCCCATGTCGAACTGGCACGATCTCATCCAACTTAGGATGGATTATGGACACCTCGCAAACAATGTGGGGAACAAGTACGAATGCCAAGGGTGCAAGGACGTCGTTCGAACGCCCTGCCTCCCAACCGCCGAGCGCAGCCTTCGGAACCATTTCTGCATTGTTCCATCGGTGCGTCACCAGCGTTCGTAAAACCCATGGCGGGATGAAGCCAAAAATCACAGCAGCCATGGCCTCGGACCATGGCTGATCAAAGCTTCCGAAGGACTCGAAGTGGCACGAAGGACTCGCATCGCTAGTAGGTTGGAGGCCATCGCTTCTAGGTTGTGGGGTCCAATTCGGGGAGCCTCCCGGTCGGGGAGAGGTGGATGAAGGGGGCGAGACAATTCGATGCCGTGCCACCCCCTAAGGATTTAACATCTTGACTTAAACCAAGAAAATCCATCCAACGCCAACAGTTCCTTTATGATCCTGTCCCAATACATGTCTGCTAAAGCAATTCAAACTCAACCTTTCGTGATTTCTTGACAGTTTAGCAGTTTAAGACCATTCTAATTTCTTCTGCTCTGCTACCAAGGCTGGCCAAGTTTCGTCAATACTCAGGAATGGAGATGACAAGACCAAGCGCCCTGGTGGCAACTTGTAGGTGTCAGACCTGTCGTTCTCTTGCGCTCAAGCACCAAGTTTGCCTCAGCTGGTCCGAGCCTCGCCAGTTTGGCAGCAAGCTGAGAAGCAGCAGCAGCACCCAAGCTGTGTCCCAATAGATTCACTGACTGCGGAGGCCTCAGCTGAGAATGTCACAAATTTGCACTCCAGCTCTTGGCATGAACCCAATGGAGTAAGTGTCATTTTTCTTCAAAGATCTATTTAGATCGTCCGCTAGGGTCCACTGGATCCGCCAGGATGCGACTCAGCAAGTTCGCGCAAGACTTGCTCCAACGCTTGCTGTGATGCTTCAAGTGTGGAAGATGGAGATGGCTCACCGCCTCAGAATGCTTTGAGCTACTGGCTGCTGAGCTGGCCCCATGTATTCGTATTATTCGTTTTCAATCTTTGGTGGAGAAAAACAACCAGCCAATGGCTGGTTTCCCTCAACCCAGCTGATTGGCTCGTTGCTGCTGTGCTGCCGTTGTCGCCATAGCCCGGATAATCCACCAGCAAAAAGCTTGGTTGTGCCACTCCAGCATCCTGACAACCAGCAAATGATGCCTCCAGGCCTCAAGATGTCCTAAGATCTAACATCATTAAGTTTCGATGTTAACACCATCCGGCACCGAAGACCTACAGCAAACCTCAATGGCAGTCTAAATATTACAAAAAAATACTATATACAGTAAATAATGTACCGGAAGACCTCATCTTGCGCAACCTATCCTATCCTCTTCCTCCACACAAAATCCGAGATCGGAAGACCGTGCCCACGTTCATCACTACAGGTCACTCATCAAATCCTTCCTTGAAAGAGAGAATGCTCTCGCAGAAAGGCAGCCAATCAGCTGACACCATGGCATTTCCACCTTAGCTGAATTTGCTCAGGCAAATGCTAGGCCTTTGGCATGAAAGTCTCAGTTCATGACCGAAAACTAACCAAAGAGGCGCTGGCTTGTGCTGCTCTGGTCTCACCTTGGTGCTTCTTCTTTTTTGCAAACTCTTTTAGCAATGACTTGTGCAAAAGCAAAAGCCACCCTGAGTTTTCCACCAGAAACGCCTTCTGTGTCTGATTTCGCACCGTGTATTTGAGCTCCTGACGTTCAAAACAGGGACATCACATACGAGCACATCCATTCTGCAAAAACTCATTACATTTCACATCGGCACGTCTCAAGAGCTTTCCACCGCATCGGCTTCCCTCCCGTCTCGATCCTGAACTCGGTAGCCTCGCCGTTGGAGCTGCTGGGAGGTCTGGGACACCACCTTCTCGTAGTACCTCCCGGTCGCCGTTGGATCGGTCGCGTCCGATGTCTCGCTCCGTCCGAGGTCGCGGCGGGTCGCCCTGAATCGGGCGAGGATGATAAAGCCTGGCCGGGACGTTGGATGGATTTGAAGAGGATGTCCCATCAAGACCTTGGGTCATATGGACCTCTGATTCATAAACGCTGCCAGAATCATGTCAGCACAGTTCCCTGCACTGATTATATCATACAGGCCCCCAGAGTAATGTCCTTTTTGGGGCAGGAAAAATTTTTGGAACATAGTGTTTTATATGTTAGTTTATTGTGTTTTCCTCTAGGGTTTAATGATTTATTCAATGATAGTGTATTCCCTCAAAAATATATTTGCCCCCTTCTTTGCTTCTGAAACCTCATGTGGTTCTTATGTTTCTTCTTCAGAGGCATCCATATGCTAAGTAGCTGTGTTTGTTCAATTGATTGTGTGGAAAAGATTCTATCTAACAATGCAGCTTTCCTGAAACTGATCTGCATTCCTTTTGTGTTCTTTTCCTTTTGATCAAATCTTTTAGTCTTCCAACATTTCACAAAAGTATGCGCGTACTTTTTTTACCAAAAATCATCATTCAAAAACATTGTGACAACAACACAAAATATTTCCAGCAAAGGGGGTAGTCCAGCAAGCAAGTGTCTAATTAATTATTTTGGGGGGCCTAAAAATAATGTCTAAAGATTTGGGGCTTCTTGGATTGCAGCTTTCCTGAAACTGATCTTCAATCTGTGTGTTTTCTTTTCCGTTTGATCAAGTCCTTTACTTGTCATAATCGCCTTAATCTTTTGGTCTTCCAACATTGTCCAAAAGTATGTGTTTGTGTGCACACTCTCTTTTTATAAAAATTCGTATTCAAAAACATTCAAAAAACAATAGATCATTCCAGCAAAGGGGGTGGTCCAGCAAGCAAGTTTCTGTCATTATTGTTGGGGGGGGGTGCTAAAATAATGGTTAGAGATTTGGGCTGTCTTGGATTGCAGATTTCCTGAAACTGATGTTCATTCTTCTTGTTTACGTATCCTTTTGATCAAATCTTTTACTTGTCATCTTCTCTTTAATCTTTAAGTCTTCCCCTTTATATCTCCATTCTGGGTTTCTTGTTTCCTTTGATGTTTAATTGCAAATGTCTTGAATCTTAGGTGTGTATTCCCTTCATTCTTATGATTGCAGATGTCTTCAATCTTGATTCCTTTCAGCCTTTCATTTTAGTATTGCAAAGAGCTCCAGAGATATTCATCAATGAATTGGTGTTCTATCATATCATTCTAGGGTCTCCAATTGTTGAGGGGGGGCGGGGGGGTTGATTAATCAAGAGTCAACATTAGTATGAAGAGGAGGTAAAAGAATTGATCCAAACAATTATCAAAAGAACATACGGGGAGGAATGCCATATATGCCATTCAAGGCACAATGCATTTTGCAGCTTCACAGCAGCAAGGCGAAGCCCGAAAGCTGCAATGCCGCAAACAGCTGCGCCAAGGATGACCTTCGATCTGTCCAAGCAATCGTCTGCGGCATCGCTACTAGTAAAAGTGCATCGCTACTAGTAACAAGGGCATCGCTACTAGTAACAAGGGTATTCTTCCATGTCTTCATGTCCAATTACCCTCATCTCGTTGTATGTTTCCGACAGGTGGATCTGGGTCGAACCATAGAACCATCTGGCATTTCCAAAGGGACGGTGTGTCCCTTTGTTTCTAGTAGCTTCTTGTTCCTAGTAGTAAGGCCAGGAGCCCCTAGTAGCGTCCTTGCTCCTAGTAGTGATGCCCTTTGCTCCTAGTAGCGTTATTGTTTTTGTCTAAATTTCGGGCATTGACATCTTTCTAGCTTTGCATCTCAACTCCGCTTGTGCTCAATTGTCATCCATCACATCTCATCACACAGCATTTCATCGAGGCACACGTCTCCTGAAACCGGTGTTTGCAAGTGCCGTGCTGCGTGCGGTGGATGCGGCAGGGGCCATGGTCAGTCTGAGATCCGGAAGGAGTTGGTGTGTGGGAGTTTTTTCCTGACCTTGACGGTGGACATGTGGCATACTAGCAACAAGATGTAACAAGGGCATCGCTACTAGTCACAAAGGATCACAAAGGCATTACGACATGTCTTTTTTTTACCATTTGGTGCCATCTGAGCGTCTTCGCCGTTCAGATCTTTGAGCCGCGGATCGATGGATGATGCAAATGCTGTAAGCTCGTAAGTTTCGATTAGGTGTTCAAAGTTCACCCCACGGCCTCCCAAACGGGCGGAACGGCCGTGGGCTGCTTGACCGCAGCCCTTCTCGTGAAGCTCGACCAGTGGCACCTAATCACAGGCCCGGCAACCACAGCCAGTTTCAGGGTCAAGGGACTGAGCACTGGACTGAGCAAAAAGACGTATTTTTGCGCCCAATGGCAGTCAAGCCACCTTTATGCGCAAGCGTCCCAGAAAAGCTCCGCCAAAAAAAGGTGAACCTTTCCAAGATTCTGACCATTGTGGTCACTCGCCAGGCCTAGTTGTGAAGCACCTAGGATCTCCAAAGCAATTCTCCCAAGTTGGAAGCAATGACCTTACCAAGCATCTCTAAGCACTCGGCGAAGCCCTTCGATGCCTGGTAAGCAACAAATGCCAAACAACGGGAATCTGCCTGGCCTTGATCCCAGCTGCGAGGCAAGCTGAAAATTGGTTCTGGACTGCATCTGAGCAGCTGAAACGAGCCAGGAAGGGATTCATTGCATCCTCCTGAGCACGGCCGCCTTGCTGATGTAGCAAAATGGAGAACATGGACCAATATGAACTCTATATATATATATATGCGTGTGTGTGTGTGTCCCTATGTCAACCCCAAAGCTGATCCACAGAGGGCTATCCTGCCGCAGCCAGATTTTGGCCTATCTGTAAGTGTGGTCATTTTCAGCTCGCCCATCTTGGCCCGTCCAATCTGTACAAGGCGGGACCATTGGGGCAAGTGATGGAACTTTAACCTGCGCACTGACAACGAAGAGCAAAGAAAATAGATTCTTCCAAAGCCATGGCCCCTAATCTCCAGTTTATTCTCACAAGGTCACGATCCTTGTAACGTGAAGGTGGTCCCCAAAACATCCCAAAACAGCATTTGGGAGCATGTTTGGATAAGAAATCAGCGTACTTCTGCAGTCGCTTAGCCAGTCTCTTGTAATAACATGTAATAACCACCAACTGGATCCCGACTGCCAAATGAATCGTTTGTCCTAAACACGCATAACAAGCAATTGATCAATTGATGGGATCGGACGGCTCCAGGGCCTGGCAAACCCTTCGACTCAGGGTTTGCCAGGCGAGAAGTTGCGATCAAAGTAACAACCCCTATAGCTTCATATAGCTTCCAGCTGACTGGGGAAGTAGAGGCCATGGCCAGCAATCCACTGTCGCCAGGGTTGGGAAGGACGATAAAAAGAAGTTTGCCTCTTCGAGACATGCGTTGGCAAATTGGCAAAGCAAAAAGTGTAGGCCCGTAGGCCACCAAAACCATCGAGGTTCTGGCATTTGTCGTTGAAAGCTCCGAATCCAAGTCAACAACTTGTCCTACAGGCTACGGCAACACTGAACCTGATATCTGACAAACATAGTCATTGGTGAGCGTGTCACGATGCCTTGAGCCGACTTTGGCCGGCACTGGGGAGTTCTTTACCTGTTCTTTTGGAACTGACAGACTTCTATCAGCTCTCTCGTCTCTCCCCATAGCTTGCCAGGCCATGCCTGGAAGCAGGATATGAATTCCATTGCGATGACATCATGCATGTGGGCTGCCCCACTCCTAAAGCTACAATCCCATGAAAGTGCCACGCAACATTCCAAAGCAATACTCGTCCAATACCTTCCTTTTCCATCATGCTGATGTAAAAGGTGTAGACACATCATAGGGTGATCCAACTATAGCTGAATAGTTTTTCCATGCAGTGCATTCCGGGAACAGCACGGCAATCGGCAGGCAGTCTGGGACCGATTTTGGTTTGCTAAACGGAGGCAACCAAACTCACACGACTTGTGCAAGTCTCGTTCCTCTCGAGATGCATCTGAATATCCAGTGCTGTAGTCAAAACCAATTTCATTGGTGACCTTGCAAAGTCTATCTGCTAATGTAAGGCCTCAGCTCTTTTAGGATTTGCTTCTCAGGCCCTCAGCTCATGCATCCGCCTCCGATGGGTGATTTGAATATGTTGGATCATGTCTGTTGCATGATGTGCATAATCATGTCTGAGTCACTTTATGAATCTTCAATCTACTTCAATGCCCTTGCAGCGCCCCCTTTTCTGCATATGCCACTCTTGCATCTCAACTGAGAGGCTCCACAGGAAGGCTTTGACGAATGTCCTCACTCGAGGCCCCCAGATGGACGGTCACTTTGGATTGTTCCACCTGCCGCTGTGCCACAGACGCTGAAATGGAAGACATGGCAACTCACAAATCTCAACACTTTGGGCTGCCATCTGCAGCCAAGACACCCATCCACCTGATTGCAAGGCTGTTGAGCAACTACAACCATGGTTAAAACGTAAAGACAAGCCAAAACCATGGTTCTTTAAAAGAATCCTTTTTTGTTGGTGATTGCTTCCGGTCATGATGCAATGCAGTCAGACCAGATATGACTAGATTCAACTGATACATTTGGGTCCAGCACGCTCAGAAGAGAATAGCGTGAAGTCCTCCGGCGCAAAGTTGAAGAGCACGGTCTCAGTCTGGCCGGGCTTCAGTTCCTGCGCACTTGATCCGTTCGGATTTGGATCAACAAGAAGGCAACAGGCACCTGGGTGCGATGAAATCCTTTCAGCACTTTGGCCTTGGTTACAAACATCCTGCAATGGCAAGCCCAGCTTAAGATTCTGCCTGATTTTTCTCCAAGGTACAGGAGTGGATTTGACCCATTTCTCCTCAGCTCCGTTTTCTCCGAGTCATGCAAATCTTCCACTGGAAAAGCCTGTTTTAGCCGAGATGCATCTCCTCCACTTGGCTCGGGAAAATGCAAATATGCCTCTACAACAGGCGATGCTCGGAGTGCACACAAAACAAACAAGTATTCTTACAACATGGGCGAATGGTCCGAACATGACACCTTGGATGATCAAAGTCTGCCTGCACGACCTCCTCACCGGCTGTCTTTCCACTGTTGGTCACAGTGACCTCCACGCACGCAGCTGCTTGACAGCCTTCTCGTGTCTGCTGAGCGCCAGAGAACCTCAGCGTCGAAGTCACAGAGATGGACTTTTCAGCCAACATCAGCCAACCAATAGCAGCAAAGCACTGACCATGCATGCAAAGTAGCTCGAAAGTGGTGTATGTCAATCCATGTCCAAAGGGGAAGGCCGCCTCGCAAGGATAAACATCAAAGAACCAAGAGCAGCCGGGGCTGCCGCCTTGAAAGAAGGAGACCGATAAGATGTCAGCAGCCCCTGAAGCCACCGCAAGGTCTCATAATCTCATCTCTGAAAACATGGAAGCGTAATTATGTAAAGGCATCTGACAACAATTGAGGCTCCTCAGAGTAGTCCACTTCGCGATTCTCCCCAATCTGAATCGTATCATTGATGGTCTCAGGCATCATAAGAGGAAGCCTAGCAGTGACTCAGCCTTCAGCACTTCTTGTCCGGCATCATCCGATGAGCTTAGACTAGCAGGCCTTCCTGTTGGGAGTTTGTCTCCAAACAGCACGCTGGCCCAAGCGGCGCCTGTCCTCAGTTGGCGGGTCAAGTGCTACCTTACGTCATACGTCATTCTAAAGCCTGTGCGTGAGCTTCGTACGCCACACCTCCCATGAAAATGCCCGCAATAGCTCCAACCTCAGGTGCTCAAGGGCTGCCCTTTCACAAAAGAACGTCTGTCACTGTCACTGGCCTCTCCCTTCCAAGGCATTAACACCTTAATGGATGGGCTCAATTTGCATCATCCATTGATCCGGAGGACTCTGACAGGCTGTCCCAGCCCCAGCTGCAAATTTAAGAACTGCAATAACACACCAGCAACGGCAGCAACTCACTTCACCCTTTCACCTTTGATCGACCGCGCGTGCGTCCGAGCAAGCAGGGCAGGGCCAAAGGGAAACTGTGACGCCAAGTGGCGTGGCGTTTGGAAAATGAGCGGAAGCTATGAATGGTCATTAGCGAAGCATACCTTTCAAAGGTAGGTGCGGGTGCTTGTGCCCGCGCACTCAGCGCCCTCCCCGTTTTCACTACTGGAGGCGCTCAAACCGCTGGTGTCGCCAGCATCCTCGGAGTCTGAGTTCTCCGCTTCTACGGGTGTCTTCAGCCACCTGCAGGTGACATGGCTACTTTGCTGGGCAACATGGCCTGGCTGCGGCCCAGCGGCCGGGACATCATCCTCCTCCCTCTGCACTTCCAAGCCTGAATCGTTCTGTCTGACTGTCTTTCATTTATAGTTAGTTGGATGCAGTGATACAATTCATGTGATCATGCTTGCACTTTGCAAATGACGGGTGCGAGTCAAGCTCTTTCTTTGAACAGGCCGAGGTGCGAGGTGCGACAACTCCACACAACAAAGGCAGGCCTCAGAGAGGCGCAATCCACAGCTAAACGAAGCGAAGGGACTGAGGATGACTGAGGTGAGGACTGCTAGACCAAGGAATGTGACCAGCAGAATTGAGCCAGTGTTGCCTGACTAGCACTGTTCTGGACTCTTCTGGGCCGAACAAGCTCCAAAAGGCCGCTGGTGTTCTTCCCAAAGCTTCCATGGTCTCGAATTGGTGTTCAAAAGCCTGTGGTGACAATTGGGCGCCAGGCGCATCTTTGGTTTCCCCTTTTGAGGCACCACCAATTCCTGTGACAAACGCTTGGTCTGACATTCTCTTGTGACTCTTGTGCAAGTCGATCCATGTCCTGGTTGCTGGTGCTTCCGGAAGGCGACGAGGGAAGTAGTGTGGTGGTCCCTTGTGAGGCATCACATGAATTATAAGAAACCTTGAAGAAGTCTGAGATAGTCTGAGCGCCTACAACATTGGCTTGAGACCCACCAGTCGTTGTCTGCAATGTGCGTGGCAATGAAGTTGAGGCAACATTGACCGCCATGGGGTTCATCTGGCCAAGGTAAATTCTGCGTGGTCATTACCCTACTGTACATCAACAGAACTCCATTGCCAATTGGACTCAGAGACGACGTAAAAAATGAAAGAATCGAAAACTCACCAAGCTTCCAGCCATGATCTGCACCTGAGCCAGGCGCAGGCTATCACAGGAGGCACGATGGATGACAGCAACAAATATAAAATCGATGCGGGTCATTGTTTTTGAGTAGAATATCCGGAAGCATCTGATGGATGGGATAGGCACTTGGAGGGTTCGGCAGGATGATTTGCAAGTTGGAATGTCAATAATACAACCCATATTGAAGGCATCACAAGCATCTAAAGTTAATGTTTGGACAAGCATCCACACGGAGTGAATCGCCCTCAACATTTGCAAGGATCGTGGAATCTTGCAATAAGCCTTCCAGGGTGACCAAATTCTGCTCCCTTACCATCCTCGGGCAAGATCTTGAGTCATCGTTTGGGCTGTTTTTGTGTGCTATTTTGCAAGGAAGCTTCGACTGCAGTGTTGAGCCCGGTGGTGTGGACAGTATGCCCTGCACCATGCAAGTGTCTTTGGAAGCACCTCGGCCCCGCTATGACTCCCATGACTCTTGTCTGCTTGTTTTCATCGCGGTGCACAACTTCAGGACTGCTCGTTCGAGCGTTTTGAGATCAGCACTGACAGGCATTGAGGTGAGTGCCACCTCTGCAAGACTTGAAATCACGTTTCTCAAATCTGCATGAAAACACGCCTGTGACGGTTCACCGGCAAGGCTGGAGAGCAAGTTGATGGCTGCACGCCCCATGGAAGTCATGATGTCATCCGCAAAAGCTGATGACAAATCTTCACGCTGCTTCAGAGTCAAGTTCTTAGCAAAACGGCGGGCCGTTGGTCGGACAACGCTGGATGCAGCATCAACACGCGGTAGCCACATCTGGCTATCCAGTGGGCTGAATATGTTGGAATGAAAGGGCCGAGCATCACCACAGTCTAAGCCCGCAATCTCCACCGCCATGGTCACATTGGCTCCTGCTGGTTGGGATCGGTCTGATTGTATAGCGGACCTGTTGTACATGAACTGCCCACAAATCATAAATCACCAGGCACATGCAAGTGCTGACGAAAAGGAAGAGTTCCAATCGGAAAATATATGGGACAAAGAATGGTTCCAACCTTCATGCATGGCAATGTGCTACGGGCCGATCTATCAAGTATATCAAAGTATATGTCTCATGAAAATCAGTTCTGCTTCTGCTTCTGCTCCTTGGGTTTTCAGCACATGCCCACAGGACAGACTCCACGGGACCCCCACCTGCTGCACATTCTTTCGCACATGCTGTACACATGGCTGCACTAATGGCTCCAGGTGTTCGGCTCCAGCCCTCCTGCGTGACCAAAGCAATGCACGCCATGCGGATGAAATTCTGTTTCTAATAGCTACTTGTTCCTAGTAGTAAGGCCAGGAGCCCCTAGTAGCGTCCTTGCTCCTAGTAGCGATGCCAGGAGCCCCTAGTAGCTTCTTATTCCTAGTAGTAAGGCCAGGAGCCCCTAGTAGCGTCCTTGCTCCTAGTAGCGATGCCAGGAGCCCCTAGTAGCTTCTTGTTCCTAGTAGTAAGGCCAGGAGCCCCTAGTAGCGTCCTTGCTCCTAGTAGCGATGCCAGGAGCCCCTAGTAGCTTCTTGTTCCTAGTAGTAAGGCCAGGAGCCCCTAGTAGCGATGCCCTTTGCTCCTAGTAGCTTCTTGTTACTAGTAGTAAGTAAGGCAATTATGTGCAAATAGACTTTTGCATTCCATCTTCCAGGAATGTTCCATCTCTGTCACTTCTCTTTCCACATCTATCCTCTTGTTCTGCCTCTCCTGGCAAAATTGGCAGCTAGATGTGCCCAAAGCATTTGCAAAGCGACCAGGGCTGCATCGCCGGCAAGAAGATGCTCCATGTTCACGGCTATAGTTTCCCGGGGCACAGGGGAGGCAGCTGGTCTCGGCGACCTATGCAAATGGGTGTATCAGAATATGGAGGCCTCCCAGTTCAACCCCCTGGCAGAAGGAAAATAGACCAGTCTACCCATTGGGCAAGGGTCTCCTCATTAAAATACACACCCAATACGATGGAGGCCATCGCTCTTAGGATGGAGGCTATCGCCGCTCTTAGGTTGGAGGCCATTGCTCCGAAGTTGGTTCGTGTTTGAGCCCTTCAATGGCATGGCCCTGGCGCCTGTCCAGGCTCAGGCTGAAAGCGCCCCACAGCACACGGCTTGCAGGCAGAGCTATTAGCTCCCAAGTGACCATGCCACCAACGGCCTCTCCTTGATGAAACGAACAAAAAGTCCGTAGCTTGACAAATCCACATTCAATGAAGTCCTATCTGTCTGGTCCTCTACAGCCTTAGCGACTCCTTCAATTCTGAAGCCAATAAAACCGTTATAGTTATATAAGCCAAAGCGGCGGACAGGGTAGGCATGCCTCATGGGAAGATGAACTCTCAAGATTGTTGTAGCGGCCCTGGACACAAGGTCCTGAGTCTCACTGTGCACATGTCTCACAAAATGGGACCACTTCCCACGAACATGGCGATTCATTCTATTACCGCTTCAATCTAAGAACTAAGAACTAGGCCACACCATGCCACACCTCACAACTCCTAGTAACAGTACTATTTCAAGTCGTCACATTCTGCCCGAGATTCTGCAGAATGTGCTGCTAACAGCAGCTTCCACGTCACTCCATCTTCCTACCGTACAACTTTGGCACGTGGAGACCTGAGATTGAACAGGCGCCGGCGAGACTGAGAGGTCCATGATCTGAAAACACCTTACAACAGTAAGGCCAGGAGCCCCCCCTAGCAGCGTCCTTGCTCCTAGTAGCGGTGCCAGGAGCCCCCAGAAGCTACTTGTTCCTAGTAGTAAGGCCTGGAGCTCCCAGCACCGTCCT